CTGGTGTTGGGCTTACCACGTGAACCTATTGTTGGCCTGCTGGGCGCAGCCGTTTCAGGGATCCCCCAAACTCGTTTTCCAGCCGAAAAACATCATTCTAGTTTGGGGCTCTGTGTGATGTCCAGTGCAGCCGCAGCCAAGACTCCCCAAGATGATCTTCATCGGCTAGAAACCGAGTTGGAGGGTATGCCTTAAAAGCTGCCTCAGCAGGCAGAGGAGCAGTAGCACGCGCAGACACGCAGAAAAACTACATTCCCTGAGCCGCGAAAGCAGGCGTAAGGGCGAGTGAAAGGGATTTTGCTGGTACTAGCAGTGGCAACAGAGTAAAGATCAACCCCCAAGTGTCTAGCCTTTAGGCAAACATACTGCAACATGTAGGAGGTTGACAGAATGGTAGCCCTCTTTGCGGACCTCCTGCACAGGTGGCATAACGCGACCCCAAATTCCAAGGCTGTTTGGCAACCGTGCGGGAATCCACGCAAACAAATTTTGGCCGTGCCACTGGATGTGACAAGCTCCTGAGGCAGAGTGTCTAGCTGGTCTCTTCCCAACCGATTCAGCCAAAACCTTACGTTCAACGCCTGTGCATTCTCTCGGATCTCTCTCGAAAGGACCTGAGGTAAATGCACACCTATCCCCCGAGCACTTGTGCTGCTCGATCAGCAACCTCACGAGTGGATTCGTTTGGTTTCCAGACATGGTCACGGACTCCCGGAGTTGAACGGCAGGAGGGGGCAAAGAGTAGAGAATCAAGCGCCCGAGTTTCAGAGAAGGTCACCAGGCTCTCATGTTGCATGGAGCCTCCCCGGATTCCGGTAGGCCAGTAAGCACAAGCCTCAAAATTCAAAATTCACACACTGGTGCAGATTAACAAGATGTTTAGCAGCTAGTTTGGAAGGATTCTTGACTTTGAAGCTCGTGCGCGCACACGCGCACACACCGACGCCCCACTCCTACGCCCACCCCCACCCCTACCCACGCACAGGCCCATGCCCACGCCCACGCACACGCACACGCGCACGCGCACGCGCACGCACTCGCGCATGCGCGCACGCACGCTATCATGGAAGTGACGCATGGATTGCACACACACAACACACACACATACATACATATATATATATGTATCTATACATATTGCAATTCATATGTGTGTATACATATATATATATATATATATTTACACACATGCTTGTCATGTAACAGCTGTTAGCTGGACTTGGTCATGGCTGGTGTATACACAATCAACGATGTTCTTGGCAACTTGGCAGGAGTTCCGAGGCCATGTTTGAGTTCGACGAGTTGGAGTCTGCGCGGATGCCCGCGGTGATTCGCGGGCCTAAAAGTGGGAAACAACGATCGTGTCCTTGGAATCTTCTGCTTTGGGGGGGGGGTGACTTTGATTGTGGAGTAGTGTGGCCAGTCTGGAGCTGCATGTCGTCAACGGGACTGTCAACGCGTTCAGGCGAGATTCTGCAATCCTCAGAGACGTGAGCAGCTGTCAAGTTCTGGCAATGAGTTATCGCTTGACCAAAATGTCCGCAAAAAACACAGGTATGGTTTGGAGCCTTTGACAAATCCAGGAACTGGAGGTATTCACGTCCGTTGCACATTTGCATGGGTCAAGTGCAAAACTCTTGGTTTGATTCATACCGCTGCGTTCAGCGGTAATCAATCGTATTCTCGAATACTGCAGGTACAAAACATTTTTCCCCTTCAAGTGGCACCAGTTGCGATTGTTTCGTATAAATTCCCGCGTTTGACATATATAATCTGTGGGTAGTATGTGTCAGCATTGCCAACCGCTCCAGATGGTTTCATTTTGGCTTCCATTGAATCAGCCGTCTTGAACGGGTCCCTTTGACTTAGGAGGCCGGGTGAGCCCTCGTACTTATTTGTGGTTCCGTTTGTTCTTTGTCGGGAAGACTAGAGAAGATAAGACTTCGGGCACCTCCAATTCCCTCTTACTGGGGTGTAGCCAGGGGTTAGTGGATTTCCTCTTTGGAGCGACTTGCAACACAACGGACACTTTGGGAGAACCACAAAAGGAGAATTCAGCACCCCCCACCCTCAAGTTGTGGAGGGAATAACAAGCTGCCACTTTTGGAGATATGCACACACACACATAAAATAGAGGGACCCGCCCGACCTGCCACTTGACTCGGACCCGTCACGGATCAGCTAGCGACGATGTGTGTGGATCGCATCCGAAAGGAACTCATTTGTTCGTACCCATTCTGGAGATTCATGAACTACCCTTGTAGTCTTCTTCCCAAAACGCCCAGGAAAAGGCGTAGAATCTCCAGGCTGTAGAATTGGTCACCCAACTCCCCTCCAGTGCCGAGGCCCTGCCCCACGAAGCAGTGGCCGTCTTCGGCGCGGGCTCACAGCAGGCTGGGGAAGGCCAAGCCCTGGGTTAGTCTCGTAGAGGGAACTCCCCAATTTGTGTCTTTGGTTCGGAACATGTTTTTTGTCGCTGCAAATAATTTGAATTACACATATTGCTGTATTTAAAATTGTATATGGGCGTTGTGTTTTAATGAAGCATAAACTTAAAATAATATCCAATATTAGGTGTGACTTGTTCAATAAACAATTCTCTTAAGGCTAATTCATAATGCAACGTTTACGTGATTTATCAAGCATAACATTGTTTTGCTGCTAACACATCGCGAATTGGCGCGTTTTGGCCCGCTTTCTGTAAGACCAAGGGATCCCTTGCCAGGTCAATGGCCTGTACCAGGACACCGGTGTGCAGGCACACCAGGCGTCCATCTTCAGGCGCGGAACCAAATGGCGTCTTTTCGCAAGGTTCGGATCTCCGTGATTCGTTACGTTGGTTGTGGGAGCCATTGTGCCGAGTATGACTGGATTGGGGCCAAAGCTCGCATATGCCGGGTGCTACTCTGCTGATGCAGGTGGAACACAACAATACTGCAATAGAGGTCCCCTGCAAGGAGGTACCATTTGAAATGGGGGGTTCATACACAGTCGCCCGTTCTGTTTGGGACCAACTCAGGGGAAGGTCATCTAATTGTCCAGGGCAGGGTCCGAGGTTCGCCGTGTTGCCGCGCTTGTGGACTGTGTGGTTTCGCATGTATAGAATTAGAACAGACATGTGGAATATGAACATGCTTGAAAACCACTATGGGCACCATTAAACTGGAGGTAGATCCGTTTGCACTGCCATGGGGCCTGCAGGCACAGCGAGCTGAGTGACACGCTCCTGGCCAGGGAGCCTCATGGTACCCGCCGCTCGCAGGCATCAAATCCAGCGAGCCAGGCAAAGGTTGGTATTGACTTTCCGGGCCTACCGAAGGTGAGAAACAACGGGAGCCAGGAAGGATCCTTTGGGTTCCATACATTGTATTTTTTTCAATCATCATGTTTGCAGATGGACGTAACTCAACAGCTGTGTGGGACAAAAGCTATCGCCTCTGTGACATTTGTTGAAGACGAAAGGGGTTCATTCTCTTTTAGTCGATGGCCAAGTCCTTGTGAGACGGCCAGCATGGATTCAATTCCTCACACCTAGCCAAACCACCAACCTAAAGCACCAACCAAAGCCACATCCCAAAGCTTGATTCCAAACCACGAGGTAGCCGTGATGTTTTGCAACCGTGGCAGCAAGACCTCGCCCAGGAATCGGTTGGCTCATCGGCATGAACCGGATCCCGTTCTATGGCGCCTGGGCGACGTCGTGAGTCAAGTCGGCTTTATTGGGTGCGCTTGTTTCGTGGAGCGCACCAGGCATCCGCACCGAGAGCCAGCAGTGCCCGGCCATCGGCTGGAGGCCCTTTAAGGCCATGGGGGGGGGGGGGGGGGATGGCATATGCTCCCAAAAAACCCAATTAAAGGCCGGAGCGCTCTGGCCCTGCAGCGGACTGGATCACCAAAGTCTGCTTTGCGGATTTGTTTAAAGGAGCGTTTGATTCTTTATGTGGGCTGCAAGCACTCCAGCCTGTCGCAGCCAGCTTGGTGCTTAACGCCTTTCCCGAGAAAAGGTGGACACTGCCTATTTTACCAAACGAAGCAGTTGTTTGGATTTTCTTTTGACTGAGCACATTATGTACATAGGGATCCATTCTCACCAACCAGTTTGGAGGCGTTTCCCAACAAGTTTATGGCAAATGTGGGTCTGTCTCAAACTTCGGGATGCAACACACCGTTGGTATAGCTTTCAATGGACACCCACAAGAAACCAACATCCTGAATCCTGTTTGCCCAATTTGAAAAACCACTCATCAGTTTTGACACAAGCCCACGACGCTCTAAACGTGGAAAGAGGTGCCACGCCTGAGCTAGGCACATAAAGGTGCACGTTTCGCGGGTATCGGGGCCTGCCAGGACAGCATGAAGCGCGAAGCATGCTCGAAGCAATGTCAATGCCCCAGGTAGCCTTCATAGAGCCCTGTCTGGCAATACTCCACGGCACAAACATATCATACAGAAGGGGCTGCGTTTGACACTGGTGGTGGTGGTGGGGGTGGTGGGGGTGGTGGGGGTGGTGGGGGTGGTGGGGGTGGTGGGGGTGGTGGGGGTGGTGGGGGTGGTGGGGGTGGTGGGGGTGGTGGTGGTGTTGGTGGGGGTTGCGGGGTGGTGGAGGTGGTGGGGGGTTGCAGCGGCGCGCTGTGTTTGAATTGTGCCGAGCCTTGCCCAGCCTTGTGAGTTTTAGCCACAAGTCTACTGATTTGTTTCTAGAATGACAATGACAATCAATTGTCCATGTTCAAACAAGGACAGTGGCTAGTGTCTTAAATACAAAGGATGCACGCCTTGAAGGCGCATGTTTGGCAGCCAGACGTTGTTTGTTGGCTTGGACATTCAGCACTGTGCAGCCTCTCAAGTGCAGTGGGATCCATTTGTGCAATATGTGCGCGTGTGTGTCAAAGCTTGGGATCTCGTTTTGGGGCTTGTTTCAAGCAGGAGCCGGCCTCAAACCTTCCTTAAGAGTCCCTATTCGTGACATCTGTATTGTCTGCGATATTTCGGCTCTTGACAGTAATTAGTTGGAAGGACATCGCCAAACAATAGCTCTGTCAGCATGGTGTCCGTCGCCGACTCGATCACTGTGACCAAAACGTGGGTGAGCTCGTGCGACAGCGACAGCGACGAGAGCTCCCCCAGCTGCCCAGCGCCGGCCACGCCCTCCGAGGCCTCCCCGGCCCCCGACTCCGGCGGCGCGGCAAGTAGCCAAGCGATCCGGATCCAATCGAAGATGATCTCCCTTTTTGCAGGTTTCTTTCATCCTTCCTTCGCTTGGGTTAGGGATCCGCTGCTATAGGGATTGAGGAGCAAATGGCCAACCCTCCATTGTGACCAATACAGCCAGCTCGCTCTCCGATTCTCAGCGAGCCCAAGCATGGCCCATTCAAACATCACCTTCCCAAACGGCAACTCACTTTTGGCCCAGCATACAATGAAACCAAGTTTGGCAATAGCCGCCGGAGTATCATGTTTTGAAGCGTTCCGGTACCAGATTTCATTAAAGTGCTCTCTGACGTCCTAGGCCGCGACAGCCCATGCAGTGAGGAGCCCGTGATGTCGGACGAGGAGCTGAAGGCAATCTACAGGGAACTGGACTCCGAATCTCAGCCTTGGAGCGGTCGCACTTTTGACCTGCGCTAGAAAAAAAAAGAGCAACGCTCAGAGAATGCATCATTTTTTTTTTGTTTTTTATGTTTATCGTTTTTGAAACAATGTTGTCCAATCCATGCATCCATTCGTTGCCTCCATTTCCCGTCCTTTCTTTTGGGCACTCACAGACTTGTTTTCCCGCGGACCAGCTCATGAAACAGGCTCCTGACCGCGCCTGTATTTCGTGAGGAGTGGGGGAGATGTGTGGGCCTCTACGTGCACGGGTCTACAATCTTTGCCAACCACGTGCCCAAAGACTTGGACCTGATCGCCATCATCGAGGAGCAATCCCAGTTGGGGGGCGGAATCACTTCTCAACTTGAGGCAACTTTGCTCAATGCTCGAGGACTGCATGTAGTGTCCAGGCTTACCAGTAGCGTCCAACAGCACAACCGCAGTTGACCGGATTCACCCGTTTCTTGCCCGAGTCCTTTGGGCAGCTGCTTTGTCTTACAAATCAAGAGCTCTTCTTTGACTCGGCAAGAGAGCTGTTGTTTTTCAGCACGTGGGAAGCAATGACAAATCAAGGACTCTGCCTTGGAACCTGACATATTTTCAACAGAACAATGTAAACTTGCTGTAGGGTCCCCCGCCTACAGTCCCATGAGGCTGCTTGCCTGTTTAGAAACATGACCCCCAACAAAACATCTTGCTTCGATTCCCTGGGCCGTGGGTATGACTCCAAACAAGGAATCTGCCTTTCGGGTGCCTGGAGGTGTTTTCAATATGAATTTGTTGTTTCTCCGACGAAAGATGCACATTGGATCAATGAATCATTGAAATGCAAGAGCAGTCAGGCAGCTTGCACACTTCCTCTCGAGTACTATTGACTGATGGTAATGTAAATGGGGGTGCAAGAAAGCATGGGTCTTCTCGATTGCTTCGTGCTTCCGGGCCATCCGTCGGCAAGTTTGTTTCCCTTTGGCGACTCCCTTTAGACGGGAAGCATACTCCCAAAATGGGGAGTCTAGCCGCCTAGCCCTCAGGAGCCCAAGAAGCCACTGGTCGCGGACACCCCGTCGGCCCAGTTCCTCTTTGGGCGCTGCGAGGTGTCGATCTACACTCGGGAGGACTTCCTAACGAAGCTCCGAGCCTTGGCTTGCTCGGTGAAGCACGGCTCCTCAGTAGATGTGATCCGCGTGCTGCCTGGAGGCTAGCCGTTTTTAGGTTCAAAGGGAAGCCAAAAGGCAAGCCAGCAGTCCGGGGATGTCTGCAGTTTGTAGTGGGGAACCTTTCCAAATTGTTGGTGGACACACCCCCCACCGAAATGATGTTCATCAAAGGGTCCCGAATTAAGATTCATACCAAGATATGTATAGAGAGCACAATCGATGCCTCAGAGGCCATTGCACGGGAGGTCTGTGTTTGGTACCAAGGTGGAACCCATCGACGTATCATTTAAGAAACCAGTTTACCCCTTTACTTGGACCTTGTCCATACCAGTGAGGTCGTGCGCAAGCTGCGCGGCCTTTTCCTGTACCCTGGTTTGCAAAGGGAAGATAGATCCTACCTCACTAAGAGGGTAACCCTGGAAGCATACTCCGCACGAACAAACATGACAGCTCATGTCGTGAGCCAGCCACATTGGTGCTCAGGCTACTTTCATGTATTTTGCGGTTGAAGGCAGACATCTTGCAACTAGGGGAAGATCCGTATGTGTTCCCCTTCTTCTGGGCTTATTGCGGTTGTGCATAGGTCAAAATCAGTGCCCCTTTGACCATACCTCTTGTGGGTGAGTTTAGGACGATGAAGCGATGTGGCAAATGATTCCCAGTCAGTTTTGACTTGTATTCATTCGATAGGCATGCGGCTTTTCAACAGGCTGAGTTGTTTGATGTTTTTGCCAGCAAGGCGCGCGAAAGTGATGGGGCAAGGCTACGACCTTTTGAACAGCTGCAGCAATACCCCGCATGTAAAACCCTTGGTGGACAAAGAGAAGTTGCCTCTTCATTGCTGGCGATCCGGGTCATTTTCTGTCCGACGACCCATCCGGAGTGGTCCGCTCGGTGCCTAGCTTGCGACTTCTCACCAGTTGTCTCCCTCGGGCCCTTGAACGAGGCTTCTTCCAGGTTTTGAGGGCCGCCTTGGGCGCGAACCCCAAACATGTCTTCGATGCGAAAGCCAAACCCAAGAGAGGACTGCTAGCAACTCTCTGCATCCACCAAGCGAGTTCGAGGTGTGAAGATGGCCCGCTGCGTACCCTTGTGGAGTGAGTCACATCCAAAACACTTCAGGCAAATTGCCGTCGTTGGGTTTCCCTTTTTCCACTTAAGTTGGGGCCGCAAAGGAGCAATGGACCTGACGATGCTGACCTGCCTCAGCACACCTCGGCGCTTCGTGCTCAAAGAGCTGCAGGCGGTGACTTCCCTGCTTCCCTTGAACAATCCCCAGGGTAACCTGAATCAAAGAGATACGATTCATGTACATATATATACATATGTATATATACATATATATATATATATACATATATATATATACATATATATATATATATATGTATATTCATTAGACAGATAATGATTACCCCTGCTGAGTAGAGGCCCTCCCCTTCAGGTTCGCGAAGCTTTGGCCAAGGCCCCCCAAGAGCTGAGATTTAAGGGAGGATCCCGCTGATTACTTTCGGAACCCTTCGGTCCTCGTCCTTTTGGCCCTTCGTTCCGAGCCAATTGGGCGGGAAACAGTTTTGAGCAAAACAGGGCCCTGATGAATCGCGAGGGCTTTCTGTTAGTGCAGCGAGGCTGGCCTCCAAGGGGGGTCCTTGCTCTTTCAAACACACCTTGTAAGAAAGATGCATTTTGGGAGAAGCACATTGTTGGGGAACACTTGACGGGGGTAATGTAATAGTGGCTTAGCATTATATTGGCCGGTTTAAGCGCAGACTAAGACAATTCCAAGCAAAAAGGAACACCCTTTTCTGCCAGGTTGTTTTTGATTGGGTGGTTTTTTGGGGCAAACCATGTGATTCTTACTTCAGTACTAGGGCAATTTGGGAGCCAAAAGGGAAACCTTTTCTTGGCGGCGGGGGGGGGGGGGTTACCAATCGTGCACTCACATTCTTATTTATTTTTCGTTTTTTTTCAAAACAAATAAATATTTTACTCATTTAGTTATTTAGTTGCTGATGTATTTCCCCAGATAGCTGAAAGCTATAGGGGTTCTAACTTCTAATAAAGAGGTGAAAGTGATTTGCGAGATTGAGGGCCGGGTGCTAGGGGGCATGCAGTTTGAGGTGCTGGTGGATGCTGCTTTGCGAGCTTGACGGCCGGGTGCTAGGGGGCATGCAGTTGGAGGTGCTGGTGGATGCTGCTTTGCGAGCTTGAGGGCCGGGTGCTAGGGGGCATGCAGTTTGAGGTGCTGGTGGATGCTGCTTTGCGAGCTTGACGGCCGGGTGCTGGGGGGCAGGCAGTTTGAGGTGCTGGTGGATGCTGCTTTGCGAGCTTGACAGCCGGGTGCTCGGGGGCATGCAGTTTGAGGTGCTGGTGGATGCTGTTTTGCGAGCTTGACGGTCGGGTGCGAGGGGGCATGCAGTTTGGGGTGCTGGTGGGTGCTGCTTTGCGAGCTTGAGGGTGCTTGGGTGCTGCTTTGCGAGCTTGACGGCCGGGTGCTAGGGGGCATGCAGTGTGGGGTGCTGGTGGATGCTGCTTTGCGAGCTTGACGGCCGGGTGCTAGGGGGCATGCAGTTTGGGGTGCTGGTGGATGCTGCTTTGCGAGCTTGACGGCCGGGTGCTAGGGGGCATGCAGTTTGGGGTGCTGGTGGGTGCTGCTTTGCGAGCTTGACGGCCGGGTGCTAGGGGGCATGCAGTTTGGGGTGCTGGTAGGTGCTGCTTTGCGAGCTTGACGGCCGGGTGCTAGGGGGTATGCAGTTTGGGGTGCTGGTGGATGCTGTTTTGCGAGCTTGACGGCCGGGTGCTACGCAGCTGGGGGTGCTGGTGGGTGCTGCTTTGCGGGTGCTACGGGGCATGCAGTTTGGGGTGCTGGTAGATGCTGCTTTGCGAGCTTGACGGGCGGGTGGGGGGCTGCTGGTTTGCGAGCTGGCCGGCGAGCTTGACGGCCGGGTGCCCGGGGGCATGCAGTTTCGGGTGCTGGTGGATGCTGTTTTGCGAGCTTGACGGCTGGGTGCTGGGGGCATTCAGTTTGGGGTGCTGGTGGATGCTGCTTTGTTTTTCGAGCTGGCCGGGTGCTAGGGGCATGCAGTTTGGGGTGCTGGTGGATGCTGTTTTGCGAGCTTGACGGCCGGGTGCTGGGGGGCATGCAGTTTGGGGTGCTGGTGGATGCTGTTTTGCGAGCTGGCCGGGTGCTATGGGGGTGCTGGTGGATGCTGTTTTGCGAGCTTGACGGCCGGTTCTAGGGGGCATGCAGTTTGGGGTGCTGGTGGATGCTGCTTTGCGAGCTTGACGGCCGGGTGCTGAGGGGCATGCAGTTTGAGGCGCGGGTGGATGCTGCTTTGGTTGTACCGGGTGCTAGGGGACATGTTTGGGGTGCTGGTGGATACTGTTTTGCGAGCTTGACGGCCGGTTCTAGGGGGCATGCAGTTTGGGGTGCTGGTGGATGCTGCTTTGCGAGCTTGACGGCCGGGTGCTAAGGGGCATGCAGTTTGAGGCGCGGGTGGATGCTGCTTTGGTTGTTCCGGGTGCTAGGGGGCATGTTTGGGGTGCTGGTGGATACTGTTCGCGTGTAACGGTTCGTGGCTGGTGTATCGTCATGATGTTCCCACGTTATGGTGTGTGGGTGTAGTGGCGCCGTGATGCTGTCAACGTCAGGATGATGCAGAATTTCATTAAGCTGTCGCAAGATGGTTCGTGGCTGTGGTATCATCATGATGCTGCCTGTACCATCAGCATGATGCTGTTCGCATCACCATGATGCTGTCCGCATCATCATGATGCTGTCCGCATCATCATGATGCTGTCGAACTCATCAGGACCTCGTTTTTGCTTTTTCCTGCCGGATTGCTCTCAAAATCATCATTATGCTGCTGATCTCATTAGGACGTTGTCTGCGCGTTTGTTCCGTGGCTGTGGTGTCATCATGGTCTACATCATCATGATAATGCTGCGTCATGGTTCGTATCCGTGGTGTGCTATCTGGGGTCTATGCTGGTGTAATTGTTTGTTTGTTTATTTATTCACTTATTTATCAGTTAATCCCCTTCATGAGGGATGTTCTTTCATGAAGGCAGGGAGGGCTCCCTGCCCCTCGAAGCGCAGGACCCCGCGCTGGTAGACTTTGAGTTGGACCTGGACGAGCTGGAAGACTCGATTTTGTCCTATGCGATTTTTACCTGGGACAAATGCAAGCGCGTGCTGGACGAATCAAAGGACAATGATTGTTATGGCGCCCGCGATTGTACAGTGTGCCATTTTGCATGTCACCTGTTTGTCGCACTTGCTTACAGTTGTGTTGGTGCTTGGTACCCATGATGCCAGTCTGTGAAGCCGATGTGCCGATTGTTGCCCAGAGGAGTCGGTCCAAGCAAGACATCACACATTATTTATGCTGTTTGTGTTTGATGCCAATGTCCCGGGCATCCAGAGTATCGCAACACGTCACAGGCGGCAACACATGGCAGGCAGTTTGCCACTTTGTGCGGCGAGGACAACTACAAGGGCATGAAGAACGCCTACTTTGCCTTTCGTGTCCTGAGCCCCAGTTGTACAGTGGCACTGTGCCGTTTCTTTTGTTGATTGAGATTCCCTTGAAGCTCACAATAGAAAAAGGGAATCACATTTTTGTCTGTAGTTCTTGTGCGAAGACTCCCTCTAGTTCAACCATAAACACTAGTTGACCCTGTTTGAGGGCTTGTCGGTTTTTGCTGTTGCTCGGAGGTCCCCTTTGGCTTCCCAGTGTGGTCCTTGGCTAGGAACATGGGGTGTCAGCTGGCGGATCATGGCCGCATCATCGACCTGAAAGCCTCCAATGGAAAGTGGGAATGCATTCAGCAACTGCCCCCCGGCTGAAAGAATCGATATTTTGTTGCACCCATTAGTCGTTCTTGGCCCCCTCCCAGCAACAGAGGATGAACCTTTGGCTCAACCACTACTAAAGCGGTCTTGCTGATTGGGGTGGATGTTGGTGTTTGGGGGCAGCCACCAACCCATTTGCTTGACAGTTTTCAGGGGTTGCCAGTGAATTTCAATTAAAGCCCCCTACAAGATGGTTGGCAGCCATAGATTCTATGCAAATGATGTCCACAAGAGCGTCATCGGTTGAAATTCATTTCCTGCAAAGTGGTGCTGCTAGGGATCTAGTTCTAGTTTTGTCTTGACACCATTCGCAAAGGTTTTGGCTGATACGTGCTGCTACAGCCGTTTTACTGCGAAGTTCGATCGCTATTTCCAAGATGCATTCGATAGACAGTCCGCTGTTGAACAAGCAGCCTTGGCAAGTCCCCTAAAACCTTCCGTAGAAAAGGGAGCACTTTGAAGGAACCCCCTCAAAAGGACAAGCCAAACCTTAACCTGAACCTTAACCATCCCCGGCCAAGGGGGAAGCAAAAACGTACCCAGGTACCCGGACAAAAGAAGCAACACGTAGCCAAGTACCCATGAGTCGCTTCAGCCTTCCATCTCTAGCCTCTCAGATCTCTTCTTCGGCCCGAGCCCCGAGCCCCGAGCCCCGAGCCCCGAGCTGTCGCAGATTTACGGAGCTGAGCATCCAGTCGGGGCAGTTCGTGGTGGTGGAGGCGGTGCTGGGCCACGACTTCGCACTGGCGTTGGCGGACTTCAAGCGCCGCGTGGACGCTAAAAGGACCAAGGCAGAGGCGGAGGCGAGGTCCATTCGGATAGCCTTGGAAGAAATATATGGGCTGTGCCTTTTGTGGGGGAGTCTCCTAGGGTTTGGGAGGCCAAAGGGAAACCAAAAACACACATTTTTTTGGGGGGACTTCAGACTTTCAGACACCATGGTCTCCCAACGTCAGGTGCAGCTTCCGGAAGCCACGGAGGTTGCCTGCGACCCCTGCGACACCTGCGCCGTGTGCCTGGAACCTTGTGATGCGCCCTGGAGAGAAATGGAACGCGGCGCCCGGGCGCCCTTTTTGGATGGCTTAAGTTTGAGGAAACGCAAAGGAAACCAATTCAATTGTTTTGTTTTTTTGGGGGGGCCTATTTTGAGGGACACCCAAATAGGGCTTAGGTATGTCTTACGGGGAATATGCCCCTCGATTCCGAGGGAAACCAACCATTTACAGGGTTGTTAACGGGGTGACTCGAACCCGTCCAACGGGTCACCTGAACAAACAAGGGGCATGGCCCTTTTGGATGGTTACATGGGAAACTCAGAGGAATCTTGCCAATTTGCGATTCCGTGTTTTGTGTCAGGCCCCTTTTGGATAGTTCAGACAAAAGCCGCGGAATCCAGCCAATTGAAGGGGGTCCCTAAGTTTATTTGAAGGGGGTCCCTAAGTTTGTTTCCTTTCCAGGGACCCGACTTGTAATAATGGTTAACCATTCAGAACTTTACCTGTATATACACGTAAACACAAGCACCCGTTAGACACCTAAACAACATGGCTGGTTACCTACTCGAATGTCCACCTCGCACAACCCCTGCCCAACGGCGACGGCTAGGGAGGGGCCTGGCCTTCCCTGAACCGATGCGATCAGGAGGATTCCGATGGGCTGAGCGCGGCCGCGGTGCAGCTGGCCAACTGCCGGCACCGCTTCCACCCTGCGCCTGGGCGCGGCCCCGTTCGGTTGACCGCTTCAGGGAAACCGAGGGACGCCATCTTAGGGAAGCTCGCCTAAGAAGTGGAAACCCGTACTGAACATTGGGGACCACGAAGTTTGTTGTTTTTTGTTTCCCGAGCCCCCAGCTCCTGTTTGTTGGGCCCAGAAAAGGAGGTCAAAGGACAGGTTGGGGGTTGGGAAACAAGGTCCGCATTCATGGCCGCTGGTTACTGGTCAGCCATTTTGCCCACCTTTGATAAGGGAAGCGATCTGCTTTGAGTATTTGCCCTTGTCGGCTTTCACAGGAAGTCTGTTTGCTGCCAAGTATCGTTGTTTTGGGTGTCACATGAAGCACCAGGAAGGACCCCAGAAACCTTGTCGGGCGTTCTCAAAACGCAGATTCCTCAACGCATTTGTGTGATCCAATTTTCAGGCGAGAAGCTGGCGGTGGAACATCGAAACAAGAGAACATCAAAACAAGACCGGAGATATGTGTGTTTGCAGGGGGAACCAAGGACTGGATTGCTAAACACGGTGTCTCTTGAAGTTCGCATGGTGCACGGCATTCGCATGGTGCAAAAAGCGTCGCACGTGCGGCTTCCCCCCGAGTCTCCCCGCGGTATCCGAGGTGTGCATCGCCAAGGTGCTGCGCTGCCGGCCAGGGCACCCGGTGTGCCCCATGTGCCGGACACCGGTGCAGGTCCGTTCGGAGGAGACGTGTCGGAGCTGTTGGATGGTCGGCTTTTCGAGGTTTCCTCGGTGCTGCCACTTTCCATGTGGTTTCTCAATTGTGGATGGCCACGAATGTGGTCATGTGGTCCAATCCGAACCCTTGACCTTTCTCAGTTGCACCCATGTTGTATAGTTGGCCGTTTTGCTGGTTGATGCAAGTTGATTCTTTTTGAACATCGAACAACAAAGAATTCAGTGGTGCATCCCCAGCACCCCGTTCCGTTTTTCTTGCGAACATATATCCTTTTTGTTCCATGTCACGATTATCTATCTTGTCTTGTGCTTGGCTTCTGAGCCTTGCTACCGAGAAAGAACACGCCAACAAGGGCTCTATATTTCCCCATGGCAACAGACAAACACGTGTGTTGTTTGCTTGCTTTGCTTTGCTTCGCTTTGCTTTGATTTGCTTTGCCCGTCTTCGCTTTGCTTTGCTTGCTTGCTTGCCTTGCTTGCTTGCTTGCTTTCATGTGTTTGTGACTTGCGTGCATGCCTGCTTGCCTGCTTGTTTGCTTGCCTGCCTGCTTGCTTGCTTGCTTGCTTGCTTGCTTGCTTGCTTGCTTGCTTGTGTTTCACGTTGCTTGCTTGCTTGCTGGCTTGTTTGATTGTTTGTGTAATTGTTTGGCTGTTTATTTTCCTGCTTGCTGGCTTGCTAGCTTGTTTGCTTGTTTGCTTGCTTGTTTGTTGGTTGTTTGGTTGGTTGTTTGGTAGGTTGGCCGGTCGGTTGTTGGTTTGCTTTGGTTTGGTTTGGCTTTTGCTTTGCTCGGTTTTGTTTGTTTGTTTGTTTGTTGGTTGGTTGGTTGGTTGGTTGGTTGGTTGGCTTGCCGTTGGGTTTGCATTGGTTTGCTTTGGTTTGCTTTGGTTTTGTTTTGGTTTGGTTTTGGTTTGGTTTGGTTTGGTTTCTGCTTTGCTCGGTTTTGCTTGTTTGTTTGTTTGTTTGTTTGTTTGTTTGCTTGTTTGCTTGCTGGTTAGTTGGTTGGTTGGTTTTCCGTTGATTTGGTTTGGCTTGGCTTGAATTTGTTTGTTTGTTTGTTTGTTTGTTTGTGGGCTGTTCGATCCTTTGCTTGGAGAAGTGAATCAGCTTGAGTTTAGCCATGCAGGAGTTTGCCACGCGCACCTCTCTCAAGCGGGAGTTGGACTCAGACGTTGGGCGGAGCGCGCCTGGTCGAGTGGGCAGGCGGTACGTGGGCTATCCTGCCACAGTGCGGGTGCGATGATCCTAGCTGTGACATACCCCCATTTGTGTTTGATAGCAGGTTGCGAACATCCTGCTTCAGGCAGCAGAGAGTATGCCCCACTGCGCCGCTACCAGCGCCACAGAACGATCAAAGCACAATTGACACGTGTCAATGAAAGCGCTCAAAATCAGAGGCACAGCTTGTAACGGCTTCCATGGGCAACAGACGTGAACAAAACGCTCAGCTGAGTTGCAGACGTCCCCCTGTACAGTGTACAGCCTCCTTTGCACGCTGAGTGACTGACTCCTCACTTGAAAATGAGCTGCGGCTGCAACGGCTCCCAATGCCCCACCGACTGACAAGCTGATTTCGTGCAAATGCATTCTGAGGAGACCTTGGGCGAACTGTAGCGACCTTAGGGGACTAAAACGAGGTAAAACGACCGAAGACCAAGGATAGAAGCTGTTTTTGTTCAGGCAGACTCCTTGGATAGACTGTGAGCCAATTATTGTTAAGAGCCACACGAAGCAGGCAACCATGCTCCAGCCCAATGAATGATGTGAAACAAAAGAGAAAGAATCTCGTGTTCCGAAAATGTTGGAGATGATCTGAACGCCTTGAATGTAGGTGCAGGATTCACCCCTGGGGTGTTCTTTTAAATGGGTTCTGGAGAGTTCCCTCGTGGATTCCGGCTGTCTTCCTGAAAAAGGGGCAGCTGATCTCCGCCAAGCAGGACAGAACCTCGATGTTCATGGCCTGCCTCTCGTCAGACCCCATGATTTTCCAAGATTCAGCGACCCGACAGACTTTTTCTGCACAAGCTTTGCTTGTTGTTCGCGCACACACTCGGCCACACTTAAACTAATCAGAAGCGTGCAAGTGCGCAATATTTACTGCCAAGACGGCAGTCTTGCAACCAGGGCCCCTTTGGATCCAAGCATCGAGGGCGATTGATCAGCTTAGAGGACTTGCAGTCATTGAGTGACTTCCGGCCAAACTTTGTGCCTGAGTTAGGGCGAGGCCGCGGGCCATCGTTGTTTGGCAAGTGATACATTTGCCTTCAACGAAATAAACATAAACAAGGAGTTGCCATCAACGCAAGCGGACCATAGGCAAGAGAACCAACAACTAGCAACAAGAACTTACAAGTAATTCCAACAATTAGCTTGCACTGGCACGGCAAATCACAGAAATCAAGCACCAGCGATAGCAAACGCAACAAACCAGACACAACAACACACAGTGTTCAACTACAATAGCACAATACTGCAGCTGCAATCCAACTAGCTACACTCAATGAGAATGTCACACACGCACATTAAGTAAACAAGGAACAACGAGAACTAACAGACATTGGTAAAGAGAAGACCATGCACACACAAAAGCACGCACGAACAAACAAGCAAACAAACAAGCAATCAACCAAACAAGCAGGCAAACAAACAAGCAGGCAAACAAACAAGCAAGCGCGCAAGCAAGCAAGCAAGCGCGCACCAGAAACCACACAAGCACAAATGCACATAAATACACGCAAAACAATACAAATACACACACAAATAAACAAATACACACATACAAATACACATACACACAAGCACACAACATACACACACACACACAATCTGCAAGCACAGTATTGACACGCATACACAAAGTGTTTGTTTTTGTTGGTGTGTTTTTGAACGAACCCAAAACTGCTTCAAAACAAGCACAAAGTCTTTTTTGGCGAGTCCCCTTGATTGGTTGGTGCTAAAAAGAATCCAGCAGGAAGAACAAGCATTTTGTGGGTCCCGAATTTTGAGACAAGCCCTCTAGAAAAAAGTTCCCCATCCTCCATAGCTGTCGTATTTCCAGGAAGGCACATGTTCGGGATGCGGGAAAGCATGAAAGTGGTTAGTGAGCCTGGCAACCCACTTTCCATGGTTGTAAGTCTCCTAAGGTTATGACCAGGCTTACAAACCACTAAGTACAATTCCCCTTGTAGAAACCCTATTTTCCTCAGCATCGACTGACGCGCGGACTGCGGTGCGATTGCCTTCGCGGGTCAGGGCGAGGCGCCGGCGCCACGGGTGGAGGGCTTCGCCACGGCGGCGGACGCGTGCCTGCGCCTGGCGGAGGCGTAATTTGGAAGACGTACAACTTGCAGATGATACCAATAATGCATTGTTAATGAGCATGCACGTTTGTATTTGCCTTTACGTGTACATGTAGGCGTGCATGTATATATATATATATGTTCATTACATATGTATTGCTTCAATAAGCATATGTATATAAACAAATATAATATACATACACGCGCAAGTGTGTATATACGTTTGCAGTTACATGTACATGTATAACGTATGTATGCACAGAGAATCGCGAGCATAGGGTACATGTACAGAGAGGATGCTCAAGCCAGGCAACAGTTCAACCGATGAAACGAGGCACTCGAGGCCCATGACTTTTTTCTTGGCACTGCATCTTGTCCGCGGGGCTGACTAATGCATGTTCCAAGAAGAGGTCATGCATGGGGCAAGCGTTTGGAACACATGGGATTCAGACGGCGATGGGGAGTTTGCAAGGAGCAATGCATTGAGATGTTGGCAGGAAAAGGCCTGTGAGGTTGAAGAAACTAATGCGTACCACAAGGATCCACTGTTTCCCAAAGCCGACCTCTTGTCCAAATTGTTAATTCCCCTGTTTTGCGCGCCCCTTATCATTGGCTGCGCCAATGGGCTCCGACAACGCCCTCGTTGGCAACCGAAGTCTGTGTGGCCGCCGGACCGAACTGTGAGCTGAGCCTGAACCGGGAACTGAACTGATAGGAACCGAACCCCAGCAGCCCGAACCTCCCGAACCGCGCAACCATTTTCCGGCAGGCCTCGCTTGCACTGTCTTGCCACGGTTGACATGTACTTTCCAGGTACACTGAATTCTTGTAGGGTGACAGCTTACCCAGTCCCCTGCTCATGCACCCCCACACTTTGATGACGTGCAGAAAGTACATTCGAAGCATGCGCAGTCCGGATGTTGCAGATCCCAGAGTCCGCGTACCCGCAAGAGGGTCTTTTGCATGCACTAACCCTCTTGCCTGACCAGCATAGCCGTAGCCGATAGCACCAATCAAATTTCTTAAGACAGGCTTCAACCAACCGCACAGTGATAATTTTGGCAGGTTTGGAAAACAAGTTCGATTTACTGAGAACGTACCGCCGGATTTGCGCATGGAGGCAGTACTTAGATCATATGCGATGACGCAATCGCTGGGCAGTTTTCTGGGTTGTAGTTTTTAAGGGCAAGGCGGTAAACATTGACACAAATTGACTGGGTTGGGACTCTTTTCAGGCAAGGCGGATGTCAACATTGACGTTGTTTTGAGATGGGACTGCAACACTACTAAGTCACGTATTACTTATGCAAGCTATTCCCCACTGAACTAGTTTGGACACAACTTATGCAATATGGCATGTTTGTTTCCGTTTGTTGGTTCCGTAGTTCCTGACATATGTTTCGGTAGAGACAGAATATCATCCGGAATCTAGGCGAAGATTAGAAAAGTTGTACATGGGCAAAGCTCGAACTCCATATTACGAATTGCCCGGAAGCTTGTGCTGTCGCCGGACTTCCGCGAGCTGCCAGGTTTGGTGCCAAGACGCGGAGGAGAACTATGGGCGAGACTTTTGCTTGGGGGATGCGTAGTTTTTGGGTCAGCTGAGGACGGGCATTAGCGACTTTCTCAACTTCAAGTAAACAGCCACTGGCAATGACTAATTTGCCTGCCTGTTGCAAGTACAGCGTACGTTGACTGCAGCTGGGACGGGTAAGGCTACGGTGGTTGGGTCGTTTCGAGGGGGAAGCAAATTTTGGGGTCTCCCGATGTAGAGATGAACCTGCAATCCCAAATCCTGAGCAGGTTCGGTGCTGGGACACTCTAAAGATTATGATTTGTTTTTGAACCACATGCTCTTGGAACAGTTCCGTTGGCTTCCCAGGGCACTGGCTATGTTTGACGGGAAGATATCATGTTTGCCGGCCATTCATACTTTTCACCGGCGGCCAGGCGGAGCAAGACACACATGGATTCCGGTGGATACTGTGCACAATGCGGACTGGTTTCCCCCTCGCACTAGGCGCCGAGACTTTTCCGCTGAACACAGAGCCAACCTGCTCGCAGAAACAGCCTTTCACACAATTTTCTGCAACTTCTGCTGCGGAAAGCGGCGGAAGCACTTTTATAGGAACATGCTTCACAGAAGGTGAACAGATACAGACATATATGCATATTGTATAGATGCCGCTATAGATACACATTTATGCCATCACTTTGTTGCATCAACCCCGCGCATACTGCACCACGTGTCGTGTGACCGCGCCTGCCTTGGAAGGCTCTGAATGACCAGGGCCGCTTCAAAGTGGCTGCCGAGGCGCGGGGCCCGGGCGGGGCGTTGCGTGAATGTCCAATCTCCACATATGGATAAGTCCCACTACATGAATCATGGAACCATATCAATGTTCAACTCTTCGAAGCGAAAGAGGCTCTTGGGCAGAAGGACAACGCAAGGGGCAGCAACCAAGGCTTTGAACGGTGGAGTGTCACACACACACACTCACATGTGTGTGTGTGTGTGTGTCAAAGTCGGGGGACCTAGAATGGGTGAATTCCTGTTGGCCACCCTTTCAACCAGCCCTGAAAAGGATCCCACAAAAAACACATATAAAAGAGCCCGCTGAATCGGTGAACTTCAGACATTTTGTGGAGCCGCCAAAGGGAATGCACACTTTGCGAGGGGCCAACAAGTGGTTGAAACTTGGTATTATTCAAGTCATTGAAGCTTCCAGCACTTGGTGGTGACCACACCCGTTTTGGCCATTTGGAGTGCTTGGAAGCTGCTCCTGGTTTCAGACAATTAGCACCGCTTCCTGATTAAAAACCACCACTGTCCTGCCCAAAAGTTGCTGTGCTTCCGGAGCACCGAGCACCCTTCCCCAGTGCTTGAATGCCTGCAAATTCCAGAGAAGCATGTTCCATTGCAGGTTGCCGAGCCCTTTGTGTTTTGCCAACCGGGGGGAGAACATCAGTCCATCCGTCGGTCCATGAGTCGCAAGTTACTTTTGGATGGCTAGGGGCTTCATTGACTTTGCCGCCGCTTTGACGACCAC